TGCAGAGAGAAAGACAGCAGCAGTAGCAGAACACACAGCAGGGAACAGTAAGAGAGAGAGAGAGAGAGTGTGTGTGTGTGTGTGTGGTGTGGAAGAGTGAGTACGGGAACACGAACTTTAATAGGATCTGAATGGGAAATCTCGCGCTGCAATTGATTTTTTTTTTCTGAATTTTATTTTATTGTGTTGCATTATAATTAGAATTAAAAGTAAAATCGATGAATTGGATGACAGAGGCTGCGCCCGTGAACCCATCTGGCGCCGCCAGCCACCTTCGACGGACCGCCGCATCCTCCGATATGACAGCTGGCAGGTGGAACCCACCAAGAGGTGGGCCAATGGGAAGCCTAGCAGGATGCTGACTTGTCACTGTATGGGCGTGTAAGCTCAAAACCTTCACCATCCTCTGATTATTTTTTGTTAATGATAAGATTAAATTAGAAATAAACTTGATTCGATTATAATATGAATATAATGACATACGAAAGATTATCGATATCTCATAATCACGTGAAATATCACCACCACATAATCAATACCTCACCATTATGTGATCAACACATTAGTATCTTTCGGATGAAACGTTGTGATGATCAATTCAATTTATGAAAACTAGTAACTATTTCGAGAATTTAACTATGACATCGAATACAATAATCCCAAAAATTACTATAAAAAGATCCCTCTAAACTTTTAGTATATTTATTCTTATAAAGATTTATAATCTATCTAAATTTTTAGGACTCTAAACTAACGTAAACATAATTTTTTAGGATTCGAGCTTTTTTTTAATCGATATTATTTCACGTGCATATTTTAGTGGCCGAGACTTACACCTGTCAACACATAGTCCAACACTCTTTACTGTGGGTGTCTTTTCATCATGCTTGCCTTCAAATGAATTCATTGACTTGTACAGAAACACTCCCAAACCTCTCTTTCTCTCTCTATCACAATCATCATCATCATCATCATCATCATCAGTTGGACAAGAAGGGTTGGCATTAATTGGTCCAACCTCCATGATCATCTCGTGGATGATCCAATCTTTTATTAGTGGTTCTATTTTCCTAATCCCTTTCTTCTCAACTCCCAACAAGTGTCCATTAAGGATCTGTTGGGGTTTGCAACTCCTAAATGACCTCATTCAGCTATGGAACAAAAGTGAAACCCTAATCCATTCAAAAAAAAGATAAATGCAGGTAACAATTGAGTGTTTCTCAAAATTCCAACGCTTCAATTTGGGTTAGACTAAGTATCTGCTAAGATGCGATGGAGGAAAACTCAAAATGGCTCTCTTAATTCTAAATTCATTTAATTTTTAGCAAATATTATAATCGTTAATTAGTCGTTTCGATATTTTCTTTTTGTTTGTTTTTTTTCTAACTTGATGAATATGTTATGTCTATTATTTCTCTTCATTTGAGTTATGAAAATTTTGATTCTCTTTTGATATACTTTGCATGAATTCTCTGAGTCCTAATAAGAAATTATTTGCTTTTGAGTAAACCTAGCAACATTTTATCGTTCATCCAAAAACAAGTATCTAATAAGTCTTAACTTTTTCAAGTCACCGATCAATACCAAATTCAATATGATCTTATATAAGCCCTTAGTCGAGAAACCCAAGTCTTTTGGATCCCCATGAAAGTGATAGGAAGGAAGAGAAGACAACTTCAAAAATAAAAGAATAAATCAAGAGATCGATGAATAAGCAACATACCAGAAAGTCGATGCAATGTAATATGGTTTAGTAACTCTCTATCTATATAGAGAGAAAATTAAATTATTCAATATACTAGATTAATTACAATATCCTTGAGTTATTTATATTCAAGAATGGCTCTCTTTGTATGCTCTCTCCTAGAAACTCTAAAAATTTTTCTTTCAATCCTCTCTAGATTCACTAAAAAGAAACCCTCAAATCACTAAGTGTCTTCTCTCTCTCTCTCGTCAAAACTTTGAGACTAAAGATGTATTTATAAAGATAAATCCTAATTCTAACTTTTTTATTTTAATTTTTAATTAAATCTAATTCTTAATCCACTAAAGAGTTTGAATTTGATTAGAACTCCTCCGAATAGCATTATTCTTGGATCAAAATTTTCCATGCAATTTCTTCTTTTAGGATGAACCCACTTTAGCTTTTTTGGTTAAAAGTGGTTCTTAACTCTCTCATCAATATGAGATCTAAATGTGACTTAAAAAATTATTTTTATATTTTATTTTCTAAAATAACGTTAATCTCTCTAGCATCTCTCCATATATATAAGATTTACATGTGCATTAACTCTATAAAGAGAAAAATTCCTTGACCATAATGCAAATACAAATCAATACCTTAAATTTTATGCTAACTATATATGGGTTAATTACATATTACTCCTTATAGTTAGCTACATTTAGTTTTCGGTTCCTACACTTTAAAAAATTATATTGACATCTCTATAATTACAAAAGTGAAATATCTAGGTCTATTTATCCAAACATCGTTAGTTTTACTAACAAAAACATGAAACAAAAGATAAAAATATAATTTTAATATTCCAAATGGTGGTGATAGATGATGTCGGTGGTGGCAAATGGCGATATTGATAAGTTAAATTATAATGATAAAATCACATATTAAATGGTTGAATAAAATATCTTATTTATATATGTGGAAAGAGAGGATTTTCCTCAACTGTCCAGCGAGATTTCCTCAAGAGATTTCCTCATTCAGTTAAGGAAATCTTAACTGCTATCATGCCCCTACAATTTGGAGCTTCTGTTAAGGATGTCAATCTTGACCGATGCAACAAAACTATTTACGGGCAAGAGGCTTCGTGAGTGAGTTTGCTAGTTGATCAACTGTATATACATGAGAAACACGTAGTTGATGTCTAACAACTTGATCTCTCATGAAGTAAAAGTCGATAGCAATGTGTTTTATGCATGAGTGGAACACTGGATTGACACATAAGTAGGTAGCTCTAATATTATCATAATATATTGTATGAGAAAAGGTAGAGTTGACGTTGAGTTTCTTGAGCATATTTATGACCCAATTGAGTTCAGCAGCAATAGTGGCGATAGTCAACTTCAGTCGTAGATTGTGCGATTGTCTTTTGCTTCTTAAACCTCCAATTGAATAGATTAGCTTCAAGAAAAATAATATACCCTGACATGAATGTTCTATCATCAAAGTTCTCTGCTCAATCAACATTAACAAAAGCATGGAGATGAAGCAAGGCATCTTTGCGGAGAAAGATGTCATAATTGAGGGTTCCCTTAGGATACCACAAAATTCGTTTGACCATAGACCGACGTGTATTAGATAGTCGATGTATGAATTATGATAATTTGTTGACTGCAAATGAGATATCTGAACATGTGAGAGCTGAGTACTGTAAGAAGCCAAGTACCTATCAATATTGAGTAGAATCCGTAGTAGGACTTCCATCACATAATTTAAGTGATTCACTAGTAGAGAGGGGAGTTATAAACTCTTTTGCATCCTACATATTTGTCTTTGATAATAAGTCTTAGATATACTTTCTTTGTGATAAGAGGAGACCTGAAGATGTGAGTGTTGTTTCTACTCCTAGAAAGTAACTCAAGATTCCTAAATCTTTAAGGGAAAATCGATCGGCTAGTTGCTTTAGGAATGCTTGGATCTCCAGAGGATCATTGCCTGTGACAATAATATCATCCGCATATACTAGAAGATATATTATGTTTCTATTTTGTTGTCGTAGGAATAATAAGGTATCAAACTTGAATTTGATGAAGACTGTTGATGTCAAAAACGAGCCAAGTTCAGTATACCACGCTCTTAGAGCTTAACAAAGTCCATAAATAGCTTTTTGTAGTTTGAAAACATGCCTCAGATACTATGGATAAATGGGGGATTTGTTGGAGACCCATAGGGTTAGGAGACAGCTTAGCCAAACCTTTGTTGACACTCTTATTATATTGGTTGCTCTTCCTCTTAGATTTTGACTGATTTGAGTTGTGATAGTTGGTTCGGGCAATTTATCCTCACGCTTTAAATATATCTCATAGTCAGTCAACTTGTCATAGAGTTCTTCAAATGTTATTGATGAGTCGCATGCCCGAATTATTATTGTCAAGTTCTTGTACTCGTCTCTGTTGGTCATAGGTGCCCTACAAGCCAATTATATGAGTGATGACACGTGTGACATGACACATAATCTTTTTTCTTATTATTATTATGATATTTTTTTACTTTATATAT